GCTAGTTTCATTGAAGGACAGTGTTTAAGTGTTTTTATCTGATGGAGCTATGTAAGACACTAGAAGAGTAAGCCTTTGATGTTTATCATATTTAGATTTCAACACATTGGCAGTTCTGAATTCCTTTGCCAGCACAGCGCTTCAAAAATACTTTATGCAGAAACAAGATGGGAGAGCCTGAGCTCTTTGCATTACCTTACCTTTGTTTTTCTGTTATAGTGCAAGATTCTCTCAATTTGGGGCTAGGTTAAATTGATGGATGTTCAAAACTGCCATGCCAGCTGGATGGCCCTGAAAATCACAGTGCCTTTCCTTTTGCTGCTGGGCAGAAACAGTACAACAAATTCTCTGCATTAATTTGATTTTTTTTTTCCCCTTCCTTATAAATAGCTGGAATTAATTCTGAGGGTCAGGAGAGGAGAGGGTTAGGGTTTTTGAAAGATCAGCTTGATTCTAATAACATTTAAGGCTAAAAGGAAAATCTTGAAATGGTTTACCAGGGAGTTCACTCTGTTTCAGCTTTTTAAGTTTTTGAGCTTGTTCCCTACCTAAAATGTTGGTAGTTTGCAACACTCACTGTCTGCAGAAATTCAGTTACAAATATAAAATGTATTATTTGCTGAAAGCAAGACAAAAGCAGATATGCAGCTCTGTTGCTCGTGCATTCAGTTACATTCCTGTAATCCTTTGTGAGTTACTCTATAATTGTTGTGTACCCTGAGCTGTGGCCTTCCTACTGATGTCGTTTTTAAGCCCAAATAATCTTCATGACAGGACAGTCTATTCTCCGCACTTTTGTCATTGGTGTATGTTTCAGCACCTGTTTTTTGGTCTATACTGGGAGTTTTGATTGCCTTACTACCTTCGAAGTTCTTAGTGAAAAGCCAATTTTATATTCAGTACTGTAGAAAGATGTCTGTACGTCCTGTGTTGGTATTTTTGACAAAGCCTCATGTAGCAAATGGCATTGCTTTCATTTACTCTGATTTACTTTTTTGTCACATAGGCTTCCCATAGATTATTACAGCCTCTGTGAGATGCCTCTGTTAAGTGATTTTAAGCTTAATACATCTTGTAAGCCATGCATCCATGTAACTCTAAAGTAAATAAATTGTAACTTGAAAAGTGAGAGAATGAGCTCCATGTATGTACATTTATATCTCCTAGATAGAGTTATAAGCAACTTCTGCTGAACGTTCATTGAACATTTTTATATGGTAGAGCTTCATTTTTTAAATCCACATTATAAGCCAGAAATCAGATAGACTGTTCAGCTGTTTGAGTGCATACCTCAGTGTTACAATAGGTGTTTTCAGTTCTTCAGTATTACCTAAGCTTTCGTGAACTTTTTGTGGAGTATGTCAAATTTGTAACTGGCTACGGATCCACCAGTTGTCATGCATGTAAACAATTCTCGCCAAGCTAAATAGGATTAATCTAGCTGACAGAATGGTAGTATCTGAGTTATCTATTTGCCATGTTCTTCATCCCATTTTACCTAATTAGCGGAGGTGGATGGGTGGGTCAGGTTCACTATGCCTCTGCCTCTACTTGATTCTCAGTGCTTTTGAAAGTTACCCTTGGGCAATTTAAGCTGTGCTGTGACACCAAGTTCTTGATTTAGGTTAATATTCAACAGCTAAGGAAAAGCAGTTTTACCCTTAGTTACATTTTACACAATATTCAATTATTCTTTACTCCTAAAGATAGTCTGAAGATAGTAATAATTATTTAAAAATAAATAATTATTTTCTGTGTTAATTTGCTTCAGCAAAATGTGTTTCAGCCAGCCAGGGTGTTAGGTCCTGGCTGGTGACTTGGCCCCTGCGTGTAGTGGTTGCAGCTGCACGTTGTCACTTGTCTGTACCTGTGTCCCTTTTGTTTTCATTATTTATTACTGTATCTGGTCATCAGCATAGGCTAATGATGGTCTCGCTAATCTTCTAGTTTTGTGCTAATCTGCTTGACTTTCTCCATGTATAAGGCCGTTTGATGGATGTCTCTGGGGCTTTCCCTTACCTTCTGGTCTGCTTCCGCGAATGTGTTACAAGAAGTGTAGAGGTCTGTTGGCAGAAAGAGTGACTTCTTTGAATGTCCAGCAGGTCAGCAGCCCCCCACCTGCTGGCATCTGATTTTTCTGGCCTCCGGTACTCCAGACATTTTCAGGTGGCTCTGAAAAGTGTAACTGACCCCAGATAGAAGATGGGAGGAAGCATCCTATGGCATGCTCTGCCCTACTGATTATTGCTTATTTTTGCATGGATGTGCACACTGGTTTATGTTACTGCATGGCCAGAAATTAATATACAGGTTAAATTCTACTAGTTATGTGCCTTGGTAACTTGATGTTTAATGCCCGTATGTGTACAACCAGAATAAAAATGGTAGAAACTTGGGCTGTTAGTGGCCAGGTTTATTTCACGCTTTTTGATATAGCAAGCAGCTGAGCCCAACGGATTTCTTAATTGCTCAAAATACAAGATTCCACTGTTGAGTTTTCTTTTTGTGGAAAGAAAGATGGAAGCAGTGTCTGGGAAGTGGTGGGTGATGTGAGCAGAGTGGGGTCTGCCTCTTCTGGCAGTGGGTAGCTCACAATGTGAAACTACTGCCGAAACATTTAATTTTCTTTCATGTCTTATCTCCTTTGCTGGTGAGCACACTGTCTTGAGAGATCCATTGCTGCTTTTTTGCTGTGATGTAGCTATTTTAACTTTATATCACGGAAATAAAAATTATAGGCCATGGAAGCAATTGACATTCTCATGTGCATTTAGAAGACACATTTAGCACAAATGTACGAAAGAAATGATACCTGTAGAAGACTAGAGTGTCCCTATATCAGAGAAATAATTAAAAAAGATTAAATAGTCAATTGTTCTCCACGTGTGGAAAACATCAGGCAATGTGGTAAATGGTTTTTGAAAAGAGAGGGGGAAACAAAGGATTAAGCCTTGAATATAGGTAACTAAATATTTTCTTATTAAAATCACTTCTTTAGTAAGCGATCACCTTTTTTGGCAGAAAGTTGTCTTCACTTGCTTTTTTGGTTCCACAAGTAGAGAATGTCTGAATTGCAAACATAATTTTTATTCTAAGTATTTCACATTGCTGACTGTCAAGCTATACATGAATGTGATGTCTCTTCTGAAGGAAAATCTCAGTATTTATAAACAGTACTGATAACTACAAAAAGAGTGGGGGTATATGTTATGACTCCCCCATTCTGATACAGTTTTCTAAATATTGTTCCTGAGTACCCAGGTGGCTCGCTAGGACTGGGAAATAAAATTCTGGAGCTGTGAACTGTGGATTTCATTTTTATTTTATTGTTGGTCATCTCTGCACCATCTTCATGGTGACATGTTACAGCTATGTTTCTGTAAAAAAAATGTAAATCTTTAAAGAAGTGTCTTTGCTGAATCAGTGGTTTTGCCAAGAAAAAACATATAGTTTTGGCTTGGGAGAAATAGTGACTGAGTTTTGTGCTTCTGACCTGAGAGTTATGAATGAAAATGCCTTGTTGAGCACATAACTAGCAGAAAGTTTGACTCAGAAGGATGATGGCATAGCTATTGTTTAATGATTTACCAGAGCAATTCATAACATTGGACACAATTAGTGATACTGTTAAACTCAGAGTTCAGTTATTTTCTGATGAAATTGCTTTTGGCTGGTCCCAGCTTTAACCTCTTGAAAATTGTACTTTTAAATAAATGTGTAGATTAATGTGGAAGCAAATCACTTGGATGCCCATCCCTGTAAGATGCTGAGTTCCTTCAGTTCTTAGATTGCATGAGGACATGGTATGGAAGGACATACAGCCGTCACTTCCCAGTCTTCCCTCAATACACCATTAGAATGATTCCCATGGTCTGGTGGTTTAGGAGAGTTATTTACAGAACAGACAGGCATCAGTGTGTTTCTCAGAGGAGTAAATCGTATTGAACAGCTGTGGGCATGGGTAATTGGATGATGAATCCTTTTTCATGAGCTATGGTTTTGGGTTTTACTTCTGATGTTCCCTAATATGTCCATGAATCTGAATCAGCGTTGTGTTGATTGCGTTGTGTGCCCTCAGAAAACCTTCTACATCGTATCATGAACTTAAGTAACTATGCAGCTGGGGTAGCTCAGCCCCTTAAAAAGGTGGGGAGAAGGTCCTTTGGATAAAGAACTTGGCAGGCCAGACCTGTAATTTGTTATTGATGTGTTGTGTACACTCTGAAAAATTGGACATTAGTAACCTTATCGTCTACTAACGTTAGTTGTTGTACAACTAATATTCACAGCATTCACTCCTGAAAATACTGTAACTAACTGGAAAGCCACTCAGTGTAGGAAAAAAGGGCTAAAGAAGGTTGACTGAATTTGGTGATCTCTTCCTGTTCCCTATGAGGACTGGTGGGGTCCTACGGTAGCAGCCTTTGCACTGGTAGTCTGAGCCACTTCAAAAACAGGTGAGAGAGGGAGAAGAGGATTTAATCTCAAAAACAAAGGACAAATTAGCACCCAGGAAGAGCTGTACCTAATTGCTGTGTCCTTTGAAGCAACATTGGTAAGGCAATGCTGCTAGCTGAGTCATTCCCCCTGCTCTCATGGTCAAGATAGTACTACAAAGATAGTAACTGACAACTGGAAAAGCAGCTTCTGTTGGGGGAATTAAAATTGCTGTTTTGTTTTCCTCTGGGACTTTGTTTCTAAGTTGGTAATGAACGCCCTGGTTTTTTGCTTTCCTAGAATAAACCTGCTTATTTTTCACTTTTTAAATTAATCTAGTGTATAAATCAGTTCACGTTAGGCTGGCGAGCACACGGTTTATTGCTTTTTTGGACATAGTAGGTTCATGCAGGGTAATTTGTGTGCAGGCAGACTTCCAAGGGAACTTGAGAGGAGGCTGGAAGCCCCAACAAGTGTGTTATATCTCCTGCCAAGCTTGTCGGGTCGGCATGAGGATTGATGTCTCCAGGTTCTCAGAAGAATCCTGCTCTGATGGAGATAGATCAGTACACTCTGATAAGGGACACACAGTGGAGAAACAGTGTGCTCTTTGAGGAACGCCCCTGATCATGACCCCTCTATAAAAGTTGGGAGAAAGCAAATTCCCTCCTACTGCACACTCCTGTCCTGCATGGTGTGTGATTTACATGGGTTCTTTTATGAAGAGCAGCAAAAGAAATGTCTTCAAAGCATCGAACAGCACAAAAAATTGTCTTGCTCAGGAATTTTATATTCTGTATTGCTGTTGTAGGTTAGGATGGTTATTCAGCTGGCTTCCTGCCTGGTGTCCTACGTCGCTGCTACACCTTAAGGAGGCTGAGGACAAAATGCTAAAATGTAAGTCTTTGGTTTTGAATAAGATTTATAGCTATAACTAGATTTACTATAAATTTACATTAAACATCATCAGAGAAGTTTTTAAATATGTCTTCTATGCTGTGATGAAATAGTCAGGTTTTGAATTAGATTTTCATTGTTCCTTTATTTAGATATTTGATGGTAGGCTCTCTCCTTTGAAAGAGACCTGCTATTTAAAACAGTGGTTTCCATAGAATATACTTCATATTTTATCAGACATGTCTAGCAGTATCCTTTTTTCCCACTCTTTTTCAGGTGTTGCAAGCACATACAATAAACGATATGTGTATATATCTAATGGAAATAAAATATGGACAGTGACATTCTCTCCGGACCTTTCACATAAAACTCCGCTTGTTCTTCTGCATGGGTTTGGAGGAGGTGTTGGACTGTGGGCTCTGAATTTTGATGATCTCTGTGAGAACAGGACCGTTCATGCTTTCGACCTCTTGGGATTTGGACGTAGCAGTAGACCACACTTTGACACTGATGCTCGGGAAGCAGAAAATCAGTTTGTGGAATCCATAGAAGAATGGAGAAAGGAGGTGGGGTTAGAAAAAATGATTTTACTTGGACACAACCTAGGTGGATTCCTGGCTGCTGCTTACTCGTTAAAATACCCATCAAGGTATGTGAAAAAGGCATGAAGGAATTCCTTTTCTGTATTTGACTAGTGATTTTAACACAGATTTTGTTTCATCAGGCTCTTTATGGATTATCTTTAAGTAAATGACTGTGATTATTTAAAGAAACAATACTGAATTTTAAGCCCCAAGTATTAATTGTGTGGTTTGTTTCCAGGTGAACAGAAATAAGTAGGTACGGTAAACATGCTTCTGTTGACTTTTCTGTACCTCTTTGTTTTTGTTCAGTACCCCTTTGCCATGTCATAAGGCGAAATAGCAAAGATCATATTTATGTGTGAATGTTTTGTGACAACTCTAATCAAACCTAGATTTGTGAAGGGAAAATAGGCCTATTTCTGCCAAATTTCCCATTATTACGGATGACATATTATTAAACTTCTGAACATAATTCCCCTAGGTAATTTATGCCTATATGCTAGCAGTCAGCCTGGTGCACACTGATACCAAATTATTTCAGTGACTGTTTGATTTAAATTGTCTGTATGCCACTTTATATTTCTTCTTTGCAAAACAACCCAGCTGCGGCAGTGCTGTAATTGTATTTCATCAGCATTTTCTCCACTACATTGTGGCCAACAGCTAATCCATTTTTTTCCCCTTAAACTAAAAATTTGTCTCTCTTTTTGATATAGTCTGTTTATATAGCCCTTGGTGAGCTAGGATCCCACCAACTGAGGTCGTTCTGTATCAAAAAAGGACATTGCTTTTGTTTAGATATACAGAGTGGACTCCTGTGAAAAACTGAATATGTTTAGCTTTCCACATTGTGTGGCTGATTCTCTATTATGCAAAGCAAATATCTTATTCTTTTATATTCACATTGATTTATACTATATACATTTCTTTGTCTCTCATTTGAGGATTTTGAAATAAATTCATACATCCTTTTTCCTATGACACTTTGCCTCTTTCTTTCCAAGTGAATGACAGCTGGCACCTGCGGCTGGAAATGATATGTAAAAGTAGGCATGTGTCTACATCCAGAATTGCAATGAGGAAATGCAATCCTCTGCTCTAGAGATGTAAAGCTGTTATTCTTTTGGGCATATAGCAACTTTTAGCTAACTGTAGTTAGTTTCTTGTAGAGATCACTTACAAGTTCCTTACACATTTTTCTGAGGTATCTATAAACAGTGCTCTCCCATCCCTGTGGGATGGGATATTGTTTTTATCCCCTGCTGACTTGTGTCAAAAGTGACACTTTATGTTTTCATGCCTCACTGTGCGTAAGTTGGGGTTAATTAATTTGGGGGTGTTTCAGTTTGTGCTGTCACATTACTGATGTTTCTCTGAAATTAAACTAATACCATCAAATTAACAAATTGACTGGTAGGATCTTAAGACAGTATTGATTCAAGTGATAAATATAGCACAGCTTTCAGCCACATTATCTAACAATGCATTAGAGGCTTAAGGGATTCTGGATACATATTGTTAGGCAAGTAGATCTGTTCCTCCAAGCTTAGATGATCCGTTCATTTACTACATTGTACCAAAGTTGTTCATGGAACATCTGAGGTTACTAATCCAAAAAGATTCCCATTTAGAATATTCCTGGGTGGTGGTGGGTCATGTTTTTCAAATACTGCAACTTCTGGACTATGACTGCCATAATGATTCTCATGGCCCACTTCCCATTATCCTGGGTTATGTTTTAGGCTTGATTACCAAAAGGAGAAATGCCAAATAGGAAGGAAAATATTAAGAAAGGAAACATGAAAAAAGCTTAGTCTATTTTTATTTATATGTTTGCTGCATTAAGTTTAATGCCATAGTTTGTGCACAGAATGTGTGGCTGTCCTGAATGGCTCCTCATTGCTTGTGCTCCTTAGCCTCTAATCTCTCCTGCTTGCTTTGTATAGTTAAATTCTACCCTATCCTCTCTTACTTTTGGTGTTTGCTGCTGTGTGCAAATACGCTCATGGCTGAGCTGACAACCAAGAAACACTTTTGTGAGCTTAATCCTTTTCAACCCCTCATTTCAAGCACAAATTTCTGGTTTCCCAACTGACTATAGTCCAGAAATAGCCTTTGGAATCACTTCTGGCATCATTTTAGGTACTAAGAACTCTGCTGTATTAAATATCTAATCTCAGGCCTTTGAAAGAGAAGGAAGTCATGAAGGAGAAAGTAAAGATGACAAAGCTTGCATGGAAAGTCACCTTAAATATGCAAAGCTATAGTTGAGTCACCTTTTCAGAAATCAGCAGTATCTAGGACAGTTAGAGTAGGTGTTGTTATGGGATTAAGTGGAAATGGACGATTCCAATCTACCAAGATGAAATAGATTTTTTGCTTGAAGGGGCCTCGCAGCATACAGTGATTGATAGTTGCATGTGCTGGAGACTCCTACTATGCTTTCTATACTGACATTCCTTTGAGTAATAATTTTATAAATTGTCTCTCTGACATTTCTTTCATGACCTAAAATCAACAAATTTAGAAAACATCTGCTAATTTTGCTCTGTCTCTCTCAGTTCAAATTTTACTTTGATAAGATGATTTTTCAGATAAATAGCATCTCTTCTTACAACAGAGATCTTAGATGGCTTGGAAAATAAAGACTTTTAGCAACTCTACTTAAATGAAAACAGATGCAATTATCTTTTCTCTCAAATTAAACTGCTCCTGCAAATCATATTGACTGAGTATACAGATTAGGCTATTTCGAAAAGGCTGGCCTTTTTCTCATATGTGTATGACAGTGGGTATCTATTGAATACTGATTTTCTCTTTGTGACAGGAGCTTCCAAGTTTCTGGCATTCATACATATGATTAGTTGCAATTCAGTGTCTTTCTGATTAGCAATCAAAAGCAAAACCGTTGATGAATCAGAAACTAGGTAATAAGCCACTGTGACAGAAGTGACTAAAACAGGTTGTGTAGTCCACAGATAGCATGTTTCCGTTGTACTCAGTTGAAGAAAAATTAATGTATTCTAAACCTCTGAACCTTTTTTGCCAACAGGGTCAAACATCTTATCTTAGTGGAGCCATGGGGTTTTCCAGAGAGGCCTGACAATGCTGAACACGAAAGACCAATTCCAATCTGGATTAAAGCACTAGGAGCTGTATTAAGTCCATTTAATCCATTAGCTGGGCTGAGGATAGCAGGACCCTTTGGTGAGTTTTAGCTACTCTTAAATACCGTTTCTGTTTTCATTAAACATAAACACGGGGCACATACCACATAAAGATAAGCTTTGTTGCAAGCGAATATCACCCACAGAGAAAAGAGTTGGAGGAGAAAGTGGGAGGGGTTGAAGGAAGATCACAGAATCATTAAGGTTGGAAAAGACCTTTAAGATCATCAAGTCCCACCATCAACCCAACACCAACATGCCTCCTAAATCATGTTCTGAAGTGCCACGTCCCCACGTTTTTTGAATACTTGCAGTGATGGTGACTCCACCACCTCCCTGGGCAGCCTGTTCCAATGCTTGACCACTCTTTCAGTAAAGAAATTCTTCCTAATATCCAATCTAAACCTCCCCTGGCACAACTTGAGGCCATTTTCTCTCATCCTATCGCTAGTTACCGGGGAGAAGAGCCCACCACCCACGTCACCACAACCCCCTTTCAGGTAGTTGTAGAGAGCGATAAGGTCTCCCCTCAGCCTCCTCTTCTCCAGCCTAAACAATCCCAGTTCCCTCAGCTGCTCTTCATAAGACTTGTTCTCCAGGCCCCTCACCAGCTTCGTTGCCCTTCTTTGGACACGCTTCAGCAACTCATGTCTTTCTTGTAGTTAGGGGCCTAAAACCGAACACAGGATTCGAGGTGCAGCCTCACCAGTGCTGAGCACAGGGGTATAATCACTTCCCTAGATGAACTCTTTAGTTCCCTAGATGAACTCTTTAGGACAAGAGGGCAGGCTCTTTCTATTAGAAATACTAGCATGGTCATTTATAGCAAGTTACGTTATATTATTGTAGGCTACAGTTATAATGAGTCAGATTATGTCGACATCTGTTGGGGAAGCCTGACAAAGAGGCATGAATGAGAAAAGGTTTTTTTCTGGTTGCCTCCGGTCACAATCCATTTAGTTTCCCTTCCAACTGCAGTTTGATGGAGAAACAGGATTTCCAAATTCGTTTAACATTAGAAGGCAGTCTGTCATAAACTCATTTGTCTTTGACCTGAGTATAGAGAAGTTAAATTGAAACTGGGTTCATTTAGCCATTTTCTTATTACTCTAGCAAATTTTGTGGGTCTCATTGGTGTCCTGCATGAGTGAGGAAGTCTATCCTTCATATTTCTACGTTTCTTCAGCAGCACTGATGAGATGTTAGTTAAACTCTATATACCCTAATAATAGGACTAGGTAGAGATGATCAAAAATACTACAGTTTTAGTTTATGGGGGGAATGGGGAGAAGGGTATGATCAAAGAAATTCATCACATGTATTCCTTCTAGAGGGGAAAGAGGTTATCTGTCTATTACTGTAGTACTCTACTACAGGAGTATCTGCTGGAGAGGCTTGGAAAAAGATACCCTCAGGCCCCTCACAAGTTACAGTTAACTCACCTCTTCATCATTTGTAGTATTCAGTCTGAAGACATTTCTAGGCTTTGTTTACATTTAAACCATCTGTTTCCTAAATCTCCTTCTATAGAATATATCTTTTAATATGCTGATCTCTGATTGTTTTCAGGAGTGTGACAAAATTAGCTTTTCAGACAAGCAATATGTTTTGTACAGACAGATTTCTTTTTTTAAAAGTAAAATGTTAATTCAGTTAATAAAACAAGCTGAAGCATACTGAGTGATAAGCACCGATTTAATGCCTTTTATCCAATAACAAATGCATTCATAAATCAATACATGTGGAAGAGTTCAAAGCTGAAGTTTTCTCCCTTGCCAAGTCAGTGCAATCAAAACCATGCTGCAGAAACAGACCCTGTCTTGGCAAGGTATCCCCAACCTAGCCTCGCCTATAGGTTGCTGTGGAGGGCAGTGCTTTTCAATATATTTCATCTATTCGTCACTCCACATGTTAAAAAAGTTTTCCATCATCAGCTTAGTGTGTGATTCTTGACAGGTGAAGCATAGTTCTTAGAGAAGGATAACTTTAAAAACTGTGCTGCAAGGTAGGCATCAAACCCAACTTGATGAAGGCACTGAACCAAACCCAGGTTTTCTTCTACATGCACATGTGCTTAAGCTGCTGGGCAGACTGTAGCTGTCTGATCCTCATTATAAAGCCAATTGCTGTTGTTCAAAGGTATGAGTTAGGCACTGAAATGTGAGACAGGTTCTTTGGGATATCATGATGGTATCACATGGATATTTAAACAGACTCGCAGGCAGATACTTAAACCTGGGAGAGAGGCAGAATCCAGAGATACCTTTTTCTTTGGGTGGTTTCCACTTAGTTGATTTGCATGTTTTCCTTCACTTAATCTGGAACAGTCACCCAGGAGGCTCACAGTACAGGAGTTTCAGTGCCTAGATTGGATTTGTGAATTCCATTCCTAGAGCTGTACACTTGAAAACCCCTCAGGACAACAGTAATGTCACTGTGACCACACCCTTTCTGCAGAACTTGGAGTATTCAGTGTTTCTTTTAGCATTTCCATAGACACCATGGAAAACATCAGCCAGACAATTGAAGGTGTCTTCAATAAACATTACAAGAATGAAACAGCATGATTTCATTCCAAAATTTGTTCCAAGGTGCCTTGACTCCTTGTTTCATTCTCCCCTGTAAATTCCCAGGGAAGGAGAATGGTTTTCCCATTGAACCTGCAGACAAAACATTTTTTATCAAAACAGAAAGTGAATTCTAAAATTTGGTAACTTTCAGTTCCCTGGTTATTGGAAATGGGGACACTGTGGCCTCTATTCTGATAGCAGGGGAAGACACAGAATTAGTCTCTTTCTTCCAGGTACTCTTATTCCAAGCCAGCTGTATTGTTTGTGTTCAAAAAAACCTCAGACAGACAAAGACAGATGTCAAGCAATTGAACTCTCTATAGAGAAAATACAAGCACCAGAGCAAATTCTTAAATGTTTGCAAAATCTTCAATCGCTTCAGGACTTAAATTGCTGTTTCATAAGGGAATTATTTTCTCTTGCACTGTATTATTTTTCTAAACTCATTTAAAGCGTACATAAGGACGTGTTGCAATAGTTTAATCTCAAGGTTACAAAAGCAGAGATCACTGTGACAAGGTCTACATAAATAGTACCAGGCCTTTGGCCAGGGACAGGTGGGAAGAAGTGACATCATCATAATTGCACAGATTAACAACAGTATTTTCAGTTGATAAACCCAAGCAGTAAACTGCGAGCCTATCTCTGCAGGGGTGAATGATATTCTTAGGCTAAGATTAGCCTTTGGTGCGGCTCTTTGTCCCAAAGATCCATCTGGTCAACGAGAAGAAGCTTTTTTCTTAAATAATTGATTCAGAATAGGGACTTAACTTTAGAAAGCCTGACCTAGGCCCCGAAGGGACCTGCTTCTCTACTTTGGCTGTTAAGGGAGCATGAGGACAATAGCTTTCCTAGGTTAAATCTCTTAATTTATACCAGTTCTTGTGCATGGTGTGTTGACTCTGGGTGGATACCAGGTGCCCACCAAAGCTGCTCTATCACCGCCCTCCTCAGCTGGATGGGGGATACAAAATACAGTGAAAGGCTTCTGGGTCGAGATAAGGACAGGGAGATCACTCAGCAATTACCATCACAGGCAAAATAAACTAATTTCCCCAAATTGAGTCTAATTTGTCACGAATCAAATCAGTGTAGGGTGATGAGAAATAAAACCAAATCTTAAAACACCTTCCCCCCACCCCTTCCTTCTTCCCAGGCTTAACTTTACTCCCAAATTCTCTACCTGCCCCCTGAGTGGCACAGGGGGACGGGGAATGGGGGTTGCAGTCAGTTCATCACACATTGTCTCTGCCACTCCTTCCTCCTCAGGGGGAGGACTCCTCACACACTTCCTCTGCTCCCGTGTGGGGTCCCTCCCATGGGAGACAGTTCTCCATGAACTTCTCCAACATGAGTCCTTCCCACGGGCTGCAGTTCTTCATGAACTGCTCCAGTCTGGGTCCCTTCCACAGGGTGCCGTCCTTCAGGAACAGACTGCTCCAGCGTGGGTCCCCCGCAGGGTCACAAGTCCTGACAGCAAACCTGCTCCAGTGTGGACTCCTCTCTCCATGGGACCACAGGTCCTGCCAGGAGCCTGCTCCAGGTTGGGATTCCCACAGTGTCACAACCTCCTTCAGCCACATCCACCTGCTCTGGCGTGGGGTCCTCCCTGGGCTGCAGGTGGAGATCTGCTCCACTGTTAACCTCCATGGGCTGCAGGGGGACAGCCGGCCTCACCATGGTCTTCACCATGAGCTGCAGGGGAATCTGCTCTGGCGCCTGGAGCACCTTCTCCCTCCTTTTTCACTGACTTTGGTTTCTGCAGAGTTGTTTCTCTGACGTATTCTCACTCCTCTCTCTGGCTGCTGCTGTGCAGTTTTGGTTCCTCCCCTGCCTTCTTAACTCTGTTATCCCAGAGGCACTGCCACCATCACTGATGGGCTCGGCCTTGGCCAGTGGTGGGTCCATCTTGGAGCCGGCTGGCGTTGGCTCTATCAGACATAGGGGGAGTTTCGAGCAGCTTCTCACAGGAGCCACCCCTGTAGCCCCCCTGCTACCAAAACCTTGCCACACAAACCAAATACATTGTGTCTTACACTCATGTCAAGATTTCTACATCTGTTTTTCAGCATAGACTTCTGTTCTTTCAGCTAAACGCTAGTTAGATGAACTAGCTTCAGAAGACTGTTCTGTAAAATGAGAGCACAGACTTACATCTAAGAAAGAAAAACAGCCCAGCTTTTTCAACAATGCCTTCTGGTTCTGAAAGGTGGGATGCTTTTGGCCCACCCAGTGCTGCTAGAGCAAGAAGAAAGACATTGTTGGTATCACATGAGACTAAACTGGTGGCAGAAAGCTACTCTGCTTTAACCCTTTTGCTGGTGCCCGTTGCATGTTTCTTCTATTGCTGCAGTGGCCCTTCTCAAACATTCCCTGTATGTATTCAGCAGGGATTGAATTGCTCCTCTTCTGGTACAGCATAAAATCTTTTAGAATATTTATGTTTCATTCCTGTTTGATGTAATGCCATCATGTTTACATAAGGCATGCAAGTGGTGAAACAAAGCATTGGTTTAGAAGTCATGAAGCTTAGTCACGAGTTTCAATGGAATGTGTTTAGAGGGTTGTAACAAAAAGTGTTAGGCAATCTGTGAAAGTCGTCTATACTAATTCCCACTCTAACAATGTTTTCTGTATTAACAGGATTAAGCCTTGTTCAGCGTTTAAGACCAGATTTCAAGCGAAAATATTCATCGATGTTTGATGATAACACTGTGGCTGAATATATCTATCACTGCAATGTACAGTCACCCAGGTGCGTATGAGTTTCCCAGTGTATGTTTTGAAGTCTGTCTTTCATTTACTGAGTGCCTGCTACTCCCTCCAATGGTGACAGCAGCAGTGTGCATGCTTTTCTTTTTACATTGTAATATTTATTGTATTAATTGAAGAAAAAAATAGCATTACGCTTTTTCTGAATTCCAGAAACTGATAAATGCAAAAGCTATCCTAATTCTCTATTTCTTCTAAACTACTTGTGTGTTAATTCTTAGAGAGTTTGGCCACTGATTTTTAATTTAAAAAATTGTTAAAGTGGTTTAATTTGTAAATAATTTATTTAAAAACTTGAAAAATAAGGCATTCCATTCTTTTAAGCATTATCACACAGTACGGTAAAAACATAGGCTCTTTCTGTTGAAAATTACATGCGCACCTTGAAAACTTAAAATAGTAAAAAAATCCCAGCCTCATGTACTATTGCACTCCATGTTACCAAAAGGCACAGATACTCCAATTTAGAGAAAAGGCAGATCCAATGGAAATTTAATTGGTTTTACCCTTTTGAATTACTTGAAGTGGTGAAACAGCTTTCAAGAACATGACTATTCCTTATGGATGGGCAAAAAGGCCGATGCTGCAACGGATTCCACAAATGGATCGAGACATTCCTATCACTGTGGTCTATGGAGCACGTTCATGTATAGATGGCAATTCTGGCAGCACTATCCAATCTCTGAGACCAAATTCGTATGTGAAGACAATAGTAAGTTGACTTTTAAAGCGGTTGTTTGTTTATTGTGTGGATTTGTTTAAATTTTATCTATGGTTTTTATACCAACTGTGGAAATGCTGGCCCTTTGATTTGAAACCCAGGGTAATAACTTCTGATTTCTGTAACAGAGAGAGAGAAAACAAATGCTAGATCAGGGAAAACCTAGACAAAAGGATATTGAGTTCCCAGAGTAAGAAGGAAACTTACTGTAGCACTAGAAGCTGAATTAGATCTTTGAGCAGAGTCAGTCTTCTGCTTTACAAAATATTTTGCTCTACAATATGCTAATACAAGTAGTTTTTGTGGTCACTGGTAAGTATCTGGGCTTTTGTCTGTGTTTTAAACCGCAGCAGTCCTAATATCTGCATATATGTACGACATAGCGAGGAGGCTCTCGTAAACAGTTCTAATCTGTTTGTATAATGCTTTTGTTTCTCTGATGAGTGGCTTTTACATGGTGCTTACGTTCTTGTAAGCATCTTTCTTTAAGTCATTAGAAAAATACTTAGTGTTGTCTTCCTAGCTAATACATTCTTGCTTACAGGTATGGCATTATCATTTAAAATGTGTGTACTTGTAACTTGATGCAAATGTGCACACTGCATTTTTTGCTAATTTCTCTAAAAACAAACTAATTCAAAAGTATTCTTCACTCATTGTCACATCAGTCAGCCGTGATAACTGCATATGCATATATGTTACAGTGCTATGAGGTGGTAAAATGTTGGAATACACCAGCTGTCTTCTTACTGATGTCCAGAACTATCTGGACAGAAGTGTGCAATATATGATGTTGATAGTATACTACAAGTCGTTCAAATAAAATTTTAGGATCTTAATATAGCTGACATCAGATCTGGAACTCGGAGAAAAGACATTGTTACCGAACTGTTTACATGCATTAAAGAGCACAAGTACATTTCATAAATGTTGACATCCAGACTGAAAGTGTCACTTTAACTGCTTAAGCAGAGAGAAGGTTGTAACAAAAAGTCGCTGTTAGGAAGTGGGACAGTATATTGTAGGATAAGCATATACCATTCAAGCAGATTTTTCTGCCTGGTCAAGAGCTTTTAGAAGGGACTGTGGAAAACTTTATTGTATTCCAGGTTAAAATTTTGTCAAACCAAACACAGATTCTAAAAGATAAAATTGGAATGGTAGAAGTTATAGGCACATTCAAAAAAACGTAAGAGGGAAAGGGTTCTCATGAGGCTGAGACATGGACTGGCAGTGCCATCCTTGGTAAAATGCACAGAGGTTCTGGGGTATTATTATGGGTGTTTATTTCTAATTAATTTCTGATTTTTACTTTGAGTTTGTGGGGTTTTTTAACACAATAACATAGTTATAGTTTTATGGACTTCAATTAGAGACTTAAGAGGGAGTATTTTAATGGAGGGAGGGGGGAAAACAGGTTTAAAAACAGATCAATATTGGACTGATTATAAAATGGAAAGAAAATAGGTTGGGTACCTTTGCTGTACACTGTGCTGATGGTTTGCTTCGCACCAGTTTTGGCAGAGAATGATAAATTATAGAAATAGGGTAACCACCCTGTGTTGTGGTAACTTAAGCCCTTAATTTTATTATGTAGTTGCTGTGAAATAATCCAGGTCACAAATGTGGCGTTCCCCCTCCCCCCATATAGTGCATCATTTGGATTTTACTTGTCCCTGCTTAACATAGTAGCCTTTAATTCGGAGGGTTGAAATTTCCACAAGTCTAGAAAATAGCCAGCAATTTAAGCTTCTAATTTCTTAATCATTTATCCTAGTACCTTCTTCCATATCATTTTTATAGTAAGAGAATACAAATGATTTGATGCTCTCTCTAATGCAAACACAGAACTAAAGAGCAACCTGGCAGAACTATTTGAGTGGGGAATAAGGGGGACAAAGATGAATCAGAAGTTTGATATGTAAAGCATGTTCTCCTAAGTTTGTTTCACAGTGACTTGTGTCCACTTGAATGGTGGTTTTTTTTCCAAGAAGGTGTGCAGTACTACTGCTACAAGCAGTAGTTTACCCTCTTTTCCTGTGTAGCAAAGTTCCTTCAACAGGTGGAACCAGCTTTCGTTTTTCCTTACGTTTACAGTCCTTCACAGGCTGTATGATACCACCTCCTGGCAGCAGTTGTGCTAACTGCGAGACATCAGTTCCAATTTTGAAATTTGTCTTTTCAAGTAATAATGTATCAAGTCAGTAATGTGTAAAAGTCAGGTTCTTCACATATCCCAGTATTTATCTATTTGTTTATTACATTCTTGTGATTTTGACTTGTTTCTTTACCTTCATCCTCTAGGCTATCCTTGGTGCAGGCCATTATGTGTATGCTGATCAACCTGAAGACTTCAATCAGAAAGTGAAAGATATCTGTGATTCTGTGGACTGACTGTCTTCTGTTCTTCAGGAAGTCATACAGTAGATAGCGTTTAATAGCAATACTCTCTAGGAAATCACTAAAGAATGCAGAGCTAGTGGAACAGGCTTTGTTTGCACACTGTTTCTTCTGAGAAGCCATTTGCACACTTAAACCACTTAGTGCCTTTTTTGAGGGGTAGAGAGAGATTTGAAGCAAACTTCGTACAGCTTTGAGACTGGTCTGTAGATTATTGGCCTGTCATATATGAAATTACATACAACTTTTTAAACTGGAATTTTCTTCAAAATTTAATTGAATTTTGCATGTGTTGAACTTCTAAAGATGCTGAATTCTCCACTACCAGAGAAAACTGTAGAGAACTGTATTGATACAGATACAATGTATAAAATGCAGTTTGGTTTCTTTATAAGTGTTCATATTTTTTAGTTGATCTTTCATAACAAGAATATGAAATCGCTTATACATTTTATTTTTTGAATCCAGAGCTCCATATATAGTATTTTAAGAGGGTGTATTTTTTTTTTTTTAATTGGAGTGATAAGAGCTTACGAAGCAGATGTTGGGAGAGAGACAGGGCCAAAATAACGAGCAGTGTCTGTCACTAAAATATGTGTGTTAGATTGTAAGGAATTGAGGCTCAATGGTAGGAAATCTTTGTTCTGTTGGATTTTATTTCCATTTATCTCAAGGCACCTTTTTCCATCTGTGCAGCTTTTATAGAAGGCTCAGTTTATAAGAGTCAATGATGTCACCAGCACTCATGCTTCTATAAATATTTTGATATGTTGATTTCAGTGACCTAAAATACAGAAGATGGCTTGTTAGTTACTCTATGTATTTTTAACACTTTACTGCAAGATTTGTTACTAGCCTAAACCTGACAATTGTAGATAAGTTGACAAGGCTTTGATTAGGGCTCGGGAATGGCCAATTAAATAGTGAGCATAACTCCCTTTTTCTTTAGGTAAAAAACCTAGTCTGCTTCTTAGTAAATTTGGGGCAGAGGAGAGGCAGGGGAGAATATTGGTGTTCTCTAATTGGGAACTACAACGGGTTAGTGTATTTTAGTTAACATGCAGCCTCCTTATAGGAAGGATTATTACTGGAATGAACAATACCACTTTAACAAATTATAATTCTATTTCTTGGAGATTCTTTATATAATTATGTATTTTAATTAAGTATTTCAATATCAGAGATAATCCAGTCTCTGCATCTTTTTGAAATTGTAGTTTGAGGTTAGTTCTTCACATGCTTAGTAAATTATATTAAGCAAAATACTTTGTCACTTTAAAGCCAAATTTTGTGGTGGTTTGTTTTTTAACAAGTTTACATAAAACTATTGATCTGCTTTTGAATGTTAAATTGACTACTGAAGAGTTCTTGATACTTTTATACATAGAGGATTTGAATTAATAATAGCACTGTCTTAAAGCTTCAGTGGAATTCCTTGCATTTTTTTCTCAAATTAAGAAATTGTTGCACATATTTATGATGTGGAAGACAAGGAGGCAAAGATACCTAAAATACTCAGGAAATACTCTGATTATGTTCCCAGCTGAACATCTCTCTTTCTGAAGGAGATACTTGTCTATATGGTGCTATGTAAACATCAAACAGTCTTTGTGACTGCCTTGACTGGTAGCACTTAATAGCTAACAAGCTAAAGTTTTTAATTAACTCTTGAATTAAATTACTTTTGCAATCAGCACATGCCAGAATTTTTAAACAAAATTTTGGGTTATTGGCTAAATCTTGAGTTCAAAATGGAAAATCACAATATCAGTTATATTTTTTAACATAAGCTATAAATTATCAGTCATGCCACCATTTAGGTGCATGCCTTCAGTATGTATTTCTTCACCCTTTTCAGTGTCTAATTTGTATTTATCAACTTAAACAGTTGTTTTAATTGTGTGTAAAAACCTAATGCAAAAATAATTCTGTCTCCTCCAAATAACAAAAGGTGAAACAAACTATTGGTATTTTCAGATAGCACTTACTGATGGGAAATCTAGATTCCACATCAGAAGATGGAAGTAGGGATAAAGATTGCACACTGAATGTGAATATTGTTTTAAATATCCCTTGCTTTTCAGCTTGTTGTACTAATAAGACTTACTGCTTAAGTTTTGCACAATAAAAAAAAATCTGAACTGTTATGTTTGATTAATGTTAAGACATGATGTTGCTTTTGTAAAAATTGTTGTAATTAAGCCCTGGAAATCAAGAGTAATTACTAAGTTGAGCTAAACCATCCAAAATACATTAAAAATACGGTAATGCTTATTTTCAAATGTCTCAGTGTTCTTAGGTTTTCTTCTATTTAACTGAAGCCGGTAAGCATTTGTCAGCAAGTAGCTGCAAGCTCAAAATGATGATTGTATATACAAAGAAAATGTTTGTTGGTTACCTTCCAGGCAGTATTAGATACTGCTGTGAAGGTCAAGATGGAATTCTGAATATCCTATTGTGTGCAACATAACCCAATAAAGTTACTTTAATAAACATCATAAGAGGTGCTGAGCAGAAAATGAATGGCACAAACTGGAGATACTTGGGAGCTAGACCTTCTGTGAGCAATTACTATCTAGGAATAAGCTCAGTTTCTCCAGAATTTCTTCTGTTTCAGTGCAATGACCACTTGCTTAAATGTACCATGGCGAGCACTGAACACTGATGGTGCTATTTTTATTGCAGCACTATAAAATAAGAGAAGAATCACAGGCATAAACACACCCAAAGATCTATCCCCTTCTAGCATCAAAATGAAGACAGCTTTGTACCAGAGGCTAGGGCATAACAAAAAGAATCCAAAATGTTAATAAAATCCAAGATTAACTGTCTAAGTCTCCAGGACAGAGTCTTCTTCCTGAGGTGGTTGTGATAAAATTTTATTAAAGTAACTTAGTAATATTTTGTTTGCATGGCTGAGTTCATCTTGTTACTTACTGAACCTTGCCAGATTAGATTTTAGTTCTGAAAAACTGGTTTTCAGAGAAGTAATTTATTGATAAGACTCTATAATAAAACATTCACAACCATCACAAAAAAGTGATGAAGTCCCTGTTTGTATCTCATTGTGAAATGGAAATGGAGAATGTGAATTCGTAGGCATTGAGCTTGGAAAAAACTGGTCCAAACAGGAGAAATGCCATCATCTGGTTTCACTCAAATTAAACCAATGCTGGCATTTCTTTTTAAACGTTACCTTAAAGGTTGCTACAACTGTTCGTGCTGAACTGATGTGACCGTCTCTCTCTGAAACGCTCTCTGTGGTCCATTTGCTTCCTCAAATTCCCAGCCCTTCCCAATCATAGTTATTCAGCTGTTTGACTGGGAGTAAGACAAGATTAAATACAATAAAACCATCTGGAATCAAATGTATGGGCAGACATATTCAGGATTGCCTATTTTCATAGAATCAGAAAATGGTTTGGGTTGGAAGGGACCTTTAAAGGTCATCTAGTCCAACCCCCCTGCAATGAGCAGGGACATCTTCAACCAGATCAGTTTCCTCAGAGCCCCGTCCAACCTGACCTTGAATGTTTCCAGGGATGGGGCATCTACCACCTCTCTGGGCAACCTGTGCCAGTGTTTCACCACCCTCATAGTGAAGAATTTCTTCCTTACATCTCATCTAAATCTACCCTCCTTTAGTTTAAAACCATTGCCCCTTGTCCTATGGCAACAGGCCCTGCTAAAAAGTCTCCCCGTCCTATCAGCCCCCTTTAGGTACTGGAAGGTGCAGTAAGGTGTCCCTGGAGCTTTCTCTTCACCGGGCTGAATAACCCCAACTTTGCTAGCATTTATTAAAATGTAAGCTTCCAGAAGCCTAAGGCTATTAGTGAACTGCTGTATGAATGAGTAATTTCTTAGGGCTCCTCCAGCTGTGGGGTTCTGTTACGTTGGCCAGTTCACCGTCAGCCCATCCTGCACTGTTTAAGCATGGCAGCATACCCAAGTTGCCAGGAGCCTTCATCTGGGGTTTTGTTTTGTAGGAAACTGAAGTGAAACTTGTCAACGGGTGAGTCACTAAAGGTAACTGGAGGGAGACGTGTAGTGGGACTAGTGAGAGCAGAACAGGACACAGGTGTGAGCAGCAGCTGCTTTCTGGTAATAGTGGCAGTAGATGAAAATGGTTGGAGACTTCAGGTTTTCAGGCAGGTGATGGATGGACCAGTGCACAGAGCAGAGGCACATAACTGGAATGACAGCGTGCACCACAAGGAACAGTAAGAGCTAGAAATGAGTAATGTAGCTGAAAAGAGCAAAATTCAGCTGAAGCGTGGCAGGGTGTGAACGTTTGCTTCAAGAGCTGGTTCAGCCCTGGGTGAGGATGAGGGAAACGGTGAGGGAAAAGCTCAGGGGTACCTAAAGCAGAGAGCAAGCGAGGGCTGCCAAACGAGAGAAGAACCTGGCTGACGTGCATGGGGTAGGTGTGAAGTTCTGGGCTAGAGCAGGAGGTCACTTGCTGCTGAAGGAGCACCTGCAAAGAGACGACAAAGCCCCAGGCAGCCAGCATCTGTAATCCAATTAATTGTGAAACTGAAGTATCTTGTATAATTAATTCCTCATTGCCTCCCTAAAACACTGAATCTTTGTCTTAGCTATAGCTTTCTCTCTGGGTGCTGGAGGTAGGCAGCAAGCTAGTGTTTACTGTTTGCATCTCCAAGCTCCCTTTGCTCAGTTTTATTTGGGCTAGCTGAGGCTGCCCCACAACAACACAGCTTACTGAGGTAAGGAGGATGCCTGCTGCACCAGCTAGAAGGAAATACTGTCTGGCCAGCTTGGATCTACGGTGTGTGGGGCACTGTAAAGTTTTGGTATCCCTACTTTAACTGAAGCTTGTCTTCTCAATGCAAGTGCTCCTTCACAAGCTGGAGGCGGTTGCCTCAGACTGATACACAGATGGGAAACGTTTAAAGAATGGCTGTCTTCTGCAGTGCTCAAGACATCATGAGGAACAATATTCTCACAAGTCAAAAATGACCTGATGGCAAAGCATGAGGTAGGGGGGTGTCCTGGTTTAACCCCAACTGGCAACTAAGCACCACGCAGCCACTCCCTCACTCCCCTCACGGTGGGATGGGGGAGAGAATCGGAAGGGTAAAAGTGAGAAAACTCGTGGGTTGAGATAAAGACAGTTTAACAGGTAAAGCAAAAGCCACACACGCAAGCAAAGCAAAA